TTCTGGCCCCCGGCAAACATTTGACTATGGTCCCTGGTGTCTCTAATGCCACGTTTCTGACTCAGCTGAAAACATAAATGTTATCCACCAGTTCTATTTTCAGCTGACCCTGTCTGCTCTGCTGCACCTTTAGAAGCAATTCCCTCTTTAAAGTCTGGTTCTGGATGATGATTTCTGATCATATCAGTCGCTGTGATTTCCTCTGTAGCTTCAGGACTCAGGCTGTTTCCAGCAGCTTTTAGCTCTAATCCAGCTGTTTTAGACTCTTTAGCCAATGAACAGGTTTTTCCTCTAAATGTTGGACCAGTAATGACATTTCAGAGCAGATCATGGTGAAAGCTGATGTTTCCTCACTGATTCCCAGCTGCCTGAAGCCATTGACATCTACAAGTCCAGACTCTAACATTTCTTGGTGTTAGTACTGAGCTCCATGTGACAGACTACTGCCTACAGCTACAATGTAGATGGATGCTAACCTGCCACACGCCAACTATAGCATTAGCAATGAGGATCAGAAGGATGACGAATGGTTCGACGAAGGCAGTGATGGTCCCGTCTCCTTCTTCAAACCACGCCAGCGTCTGCAGAGCAGAGAGCAGCCGTTAGAAATGTGCTTCCTGTACTGAAACATGTAGAAATCAACTGATATCATTCACTATTAGAGACAGGAAGGTCAGAGGCACAGCTGGGAACCCAACCCGCTCCAGATGTTTCTAAAACCCTCAGTATCACAGTCTCAGATCAACATCAGGACCATCTGCCTGCTAGTGTTGGTCTGTGTGACTCATCAGTCCCTCAGCTGACCTGTTGCTCCAGCGTGTCCTAGGGGTCCAGGAGACGCTTGGTCTGTGAAACATCTAGTAGTCCATCTGACCTGCAGGACCTTCAAAAAGTCCTACATGTACGCAGAGGTGTCAAGTAACAAAGTACAAATACTTCATGTCCTTACTAATGAAGAAATATTCACTATCTTTACTGCAGTAATAATTTTTTAGACAACTTTTTACTTCTACTAATTACATTTTAAAAAATAGACTCATTAGTTTTCTTCCATTTAAGCTCAGTCTCTTCCAGACAATTAACTTTTTTGTGGTTGGACTGGGTGCTGCCCCAACTTGTTGCTCACCACAGACCAAAATAAATAGTTTTTCAAGATGAAAGTCAAAGTTAAATTTGACACCAATAGTTATAAAATTAGGAAAATGACATCTAAGGAAGTTATCATCCAGAATTGTAGAAAATGTTCCTTTAACAGAGCAGAGCAGTGAAACTTCTGTACGTAACATTTTTTCCTGCATTACTTTGACTTTTATACTTTAAGAAGTTTTAAAAATGTACTTTTTCACTTTTACTGGAGTAAAAAGCTGAAGTTGATCCTCTAACTTCTACAAAAGTGTTTTTAATCAGCAGGATTTCTACTGGAGGGATAAACATGAATACTTCTGAGACCTCTGTCTGTAGGAGAACAACCTTCCTCAGAATATTGACCATTAACTGGAACAACTTGGAGACTATTTGGGTTGAATTAGCAACAGTCTGTACACATGCTAAGGTAGCTTAACCTGCGTTACATCAGGTGTCCTCTGTCCCTGTGTTTGCGATCTAGCGCACAGAAAGGTCCAAAGTACAGATATTTATACACAGATGTTCTAATTAAATGCTATTTTTAGTTCTGAGTAAACAAGCTATTGTGGTATTTCCTTACAAAAGAGATGCAGGCAGCCAGCAGCAGAATTCGAACCAACAGATCTTCAAACTGTTCCAGGACCAGCTCCCACAGAGACTTCCCTGCAGAGAGACAGAGCAAAGAAGCTGAGGGGACAGGAGACACACAGAGGGACAGGAGACACACAGAGGGACAGGAGAGGACAGGAGACACACAGAGGGACTGGAGAGAGACAGAGGGACTGAGAGGACAGGAGAGACACAGAGGGACAGGAGAGAGACAGAGGGACTGAGAGGACAGGAGAGACACAGAGGGACAGGAGAGAGACAGAGGGACTGAGATAACAGGAGAGACACAGAGGGACAGGAGAGAGACAGAGGGACTGAGATAACAGGAGAGACACAGAGGGACAGGAGAGAGACAGAGGGACTGAGATAACAGGAGAGACACAGAGGGACAGGAGA